ATAAAATGTATATGTAGTTTGACAGTCCAACAGCACCAGCGATCATGCGCTGGATAAATAGTCAGTGCGTTTCTCCATAAAAAAGTTAACCGTAAATGTGATAGTGGTATTTTACGTTTTTTTTCCTGCAGTCAAACTCACGAACTTGTATATTAAACTGGACCGCGCACTAAGTGGTAAGTTAATAAAACGAGCCGAGTGAGAGGCTTGAAAGTAGTAATGCGTCTCTTTCTAATAGGGTGTTCATTCTTGTTTCAGCCAGGCATGTTGCTTTTGACTTTTTAATTTTTACGGAAAATGTGGCCGCTTATGGATGACCAAAACTACTAATATTATTTCATAATACAAATTAGTCTACTTATTTGATATGCTACTTCATAAGAAGGTTTCATTGTTGAAATATTTTTTTTTGTGTTATTACAGTAAAAGCATATTACTTTTAAGCTAATTTAATTTAACCAAATTTTAAAAAATTAATAGACTAAACACTACCTAAGATGATTTTATTTAGCGTTGGCAACTTGTTAGACAAGGACAGACCACTACTTCAGGCTTGTGCTTCAGGCTATCTCACATGGCTCGGTTTTTTACTTTTACTTAAAATAAACCTTAACATAACCACATAAGGTGTAAATTTGTAATATTGGTATATTGAAGTGCGCGATTCAGTTTGTGAAATATATAAATCCGTGGTCAAACTATACATGTATCGACTCCTCTTACGTACCTAATCTATGGTAAGCCACGAAAAAAGGTAGTTTTTTTTAATAAGTAACTTTATCTCAGGAGTAAAATTGTAAATCATGAAAAATAATGCGTGAAATTGTAAATCATGAAAAATAATGCGTGTGTATCAATTTCATAGCAATACCTTGATTATCTCAGGTGTCGTTATCAATTTATTTATTTCAATGTATTACAAAGTTCCATTGTAAAGTTGTGAATTTGGGCTTACGATTCTTTACACCTATGAGATATCTAACAGTTTTGTAGAACTTTTCGTATACAAACTCAACCAATTAATGGAAATTTATCTTAAAAGCTTAGAATATAAGGTTAATATTTCAAGTGACAGTACTGTTATTGCACGACTGCTTCAGTTTTTACCATGTCACATGTAAGTAAGTGGCACTGAACGTTCTTAATCTAGTTGACGGGCACTATGTTATCAACAGCGTTCTTTTGGACGTCGATGCAGCAGCAGCTGGAGATTAGGTTGTACTCCTCACAGGTGTTGGCATACAAAGACTTGCAGCTCGACTTCCGGCAGTTGTATGGCAAATCTGGAATGCCAATTATGTTACATTATTATACTTTTTTTTTTGTTGTAGTTATTCTTCTTCTAGAAGTAATTGCAATTTTAACGAATGTAGAACGTTCTTTATCATTCTGAATAGAATGTTTGAATATTACAAGATATTATTATAAAAACTAGATTTAAGTAGGTACAATATGCTATGCCCTGCCAGGGTTCATGTGATATTATTATTTACTTGTAACAATTGCAATTATATCATGGTTGCAATAAACGATATCCTATTATATTCTAAGAATGCTTTGAATACAATGAAATTAACAAGATGTGCAGCTCAAAATGTAGAGCTTAAACTAAAACTCTGACGGAGAGTCTATCTGACGACATTGACATTGACAGGGAGCGCAGGGCATTCTCAGTAAGGTGTAATATGCTGGCCAGCAGGTTTGCACGTTGTACTGGAAACGTGAAGCTCACGCGCAGCTTGTGGGTCAAGTATAATGACGCTCTCAGAATGATGTCGGAGTTGCCGTGCTATTTTAGCGCTTCGGCATAGTTTACCGAGGCGCGAGTGGACGGCTATAGCGCCATTTTGCGGAAGCGGGTAGCGTCTATAATGCGCAGGGTGCGGGGCAGCGGCAATGGTCGAGAGGAACGATGGGCCCAGATTATATCAATGGGTACGGGTACATGTCAATGTTTTGATGATTTATATTAACATATTGTCCGAAATAAAGATTACAATTGAATTGAATTAAATCTAAAGATGGGGCAATATAAGGCTGAGCTGGCACGGTCCTAACACAAAATGGGGATAGGGATGGGCATGAATGAGACGTCGAAGTTTCACTACGAACGTTTGCTGACGCAATTTACTTTTTTAGGACTATAGTTTTGACCAGTACCTAGCTCTGGAGCAAAGATAGGATCTACGTTGGAACCAGCTCGACCAGAAGATGCCTATTCAGTCGCACCTTAAAGAGATTGTATGAGTTCGGAAACCCAGTCGCACGCAGGGAATTCCATTCCTGGGCTATGCGCATATTAAAAGAAGATGAAAAGCGCTTAGTACGCCTGTAGGGAATATCGGCCCAAGTAAGGATGATACCCCGCCGTACGTCTGGGCGTCCGATGGTAAACTGGGGCGGGCGGATGAGCGGATGGAGCTCATGTGCACACTCACCGAAATTTATTCTGTATAAAACCGACAGACGGGTAACTTGATGTCAGTGGGCTAAACTATGAAGTTTAGATTCGAGCTTATCGTCGCCCATAAGTCTCCTGGCTCTACGCTCTATCTTTGTATCTATTGTAGTATCTGTTGTTAAGACAAAGCCAATTAATTATCATCGTGATACGATGACATCGCATTTACTCTTGCTTCTGGTTCCTACATTGCACTTCCGGCAACTATTAGTGTTGTCAGTTCTTGTGTGGAATTTTACCACAACATGGAGTAGGTTCCTAAATGTGGGACTATAGCAAAACAGACGGCGATAGTTGCCAGTGTTTACGAGGTTGGTTTTACGAAGCCGCGGTAGTCTGTCAATACTATTGTTGCTTGTATCGTTGTTGCTGGCCGCAAATGTTGAAGTTGGACGCTCATACAATAATTTATTATTGATACCCATGCGTCATTGCTTTTCTAAATCCGTATGGCCTCTCCATACTCACGCGCGAAGCCGCAAACTACCCGCGAAGCATGAGTGTGGATCCCATTTGTATATTCTTTGCGGGTTCGTAACTTGTACTTGTACTTGTAGGTTTGTAACTTGGCGTGAACGCGACAAGTATCCGGGTTGTGCTTGTATTTTTATTGTTGACGATTTGAACGTGCTTAAAATGGCCGTGGACTGGACAAATGAACTTGAACTGACATTTTTAGGTTCTAGCATTTCTTTTTAATAACTTTATTTCTTTATAAAAGGTTTATAAATGTAAATAGCCAAAGCGCAAAGTAGTCCCGTACTTCGGCGTCCATCTTCGCCAAGCGCGAGAACTATACGTACTGTGAACCAGGCGCGAACCCCTGTGAGTATAGAGCTGTGGCAGCCGCGACTCGCGCCGTAATTTCGCGCGAGAATCGCGCGCGAGTGTGGAGAGGCCTTATTTAGGTCGGTATAGGCGCTATTTAGGTCCGAAAAAATGGTTTCATTTCCTATATGCTTTTATTATTTCAGGTAAGTACCACATCATTTGTTTAATATAGTACCTATTATTTTTATAACTTTAAAGGGTACAAACTATGGTACTAAACTTCTTATAAGTGGAGAGTGCTCGGAAGACTATCCTCTTAATATTTCCTTGTGCGCACAAGATTACAAATATGCCTATTTAAGATTAAATGAGTGGTCAATGCCAAACTGTTTTACGCCCACGGCGATCCTTTTTAAGACTTAGTGATGAAATTGTAAATATTATACATAGACATTGGCACGTATTTTGGCACAAACTGAGCCAATGACAGGATCGATATGATTGTGAATACCAGCCGACGACGTGACGGTACAGGTAACGTACTTACACATAGGGTCAGAAAGGATTGGCAAAGTCGATTATAACCTCAAATGGCTTTGGCGAATTCCGCATAACTGCGAGTGTTGAATCAATCATTGGAAAATTATGGATATACACTGATTACTACAGGGTGTAAAAACACGATTCCTAAACATTTTCATGATAGAAAAAGATCATAAAATTACCTCGAAATTTAACAAGAAAACTGCTGTGTATTCTTATATATGATTTTTTTATATCAACTGAATTAAATAGAACCCTATACGAGGTCTATTTAGTTCAGTTGATGTAGGTGTCTATGGTGTAAATAGTATACGATGTACATTTTTCAAAAAGCTTTAATTTTCTTTGTAAAAAAGTGAATTCTGAAATAAAACCAGTGACCCGCGCAATGGAACTGACTCAGTATTGGAAATATTTGAATTTACACTAGATTTATATTTATCTTTATGTCACTTATGACAACGGCTTTGACTTTCGGGTTGCTGATGGGGCTGCCCCGCTTCTGTAGCGCGTCAGGGATGTTTGCAGAAGCAAGAGTGGAGCGAAAGCGACCTTGTACAAGCGAATCACGTCGCTGTAAACGCTCGATAGCGGATAGCTTCAACTGTCCATATACGAGGCACTGTTGTGTACTGCACTTTTTTTGTACCTTACTAATATTAGTAAGTGGTTTACTGACAAACTATAGGTAGATATTACGAGTCAATGTTTCTTGGAATAAATAAATAGTTATTAAAGCCCCAAAGTATAAACATGAGTACGTTGGTTGATTGTACCATTTGTGGAATTTGGAATGGGAATGAGTTTCGTGTACTTTTGGAATTTTGTTTGAGAAATAGTTATTTACCATAAATCGTCTTCGGATCTAAGCCACTAATTATTAGAGATGCCACGAACTATGATTTGGCCGAATATTCGGCTGCCGAATGTTCGGCGTGGTTTGTGCATTTCACGCGTGACCTGTTACGACCTGTCTCATTGCGCTGCGTGCGTAGGTAACGGTTTTTGTTGAAAAATGATAAAACGATATAATAAATACATGACCGTTTCTGGACCTCTTTTGAAAAAGTCGCTACAGATAATATGCAAAATGATGAGGTTGTGAAGAAAAGTTCTATTGCACATGAAATTGATTTTTATTTGAAAACTGTTCGCCTAAATCGGACGGCAGAGCAAACGCAAAGCAGTATCCAAGCCCGTCAAAACTTGCCAAGATTTATCTATCGGCAATAGTGAGAGGCTATTTTCAGAAATAGGAATTGTTTATGAGGAAAAGCGCAATCGTTTGTTACCAACCAACGCTGAAAAAAAAAACATTCATCACAACCTGCCACTGACTGATTTTAAATGTTAAAGCAATAATTTGTGATTAAAATACATGATACATTTTAAATTGTATGTGCTTTTTTCATTATTTGATATTCGGCATTCGGTCGAATAGTCGTAGTATTCGGTCGAATACGGAATTTGAAAAAAATGGCTAAATAGGCCGAATACCCAATAGTAGCAAATTATTCGTAGCATCTCTTCTAATTATAACGCACACACTTAATAACGCACACACTCAACATAGCCCCGCGCTAGGGAAACCCTGTGTCGCGGGTGCCATGGACACACACATAGACAACCACAAATTACACCCAAACTCACGAGAGAAATAAATGTAGGTCATACAAATATTTCTCCCGGCCCGGGAATCGAACCTGGGACCTCTGCGTGGCAGTCCGGCATGGTAACCGTTCGGCCACGGAGGCAATTATAATACAGCTTACCTACGTAGTAACAATGAAGTTACAAAATGTCGAACCTAACAAACATTTTTAATCTAAGTATATTCAATTCCTTTCCAATTGTAAATTAATTATTGTCACTTTACTGCAGAAATGGGTAATCTTCATGTTCATTTTCCACCTAATTTCGGTGACAATTTTTACTATTTAAGTTTTAAAATTTAATTTAAATATTAAATAATATTTTAGTATACTCTACACTCGAATCGATATCTCCAATGATGACTACTCCAACTTATTTTTTGTACCTGTGTTTTTTAATTTTGTTTTTTGTTTCTTTATTTTTTTGCACAAAATTCGGGGAGCATAATATTAGTAAATAAATATGGCTTATTACAACAATATCAGAAAGTGGCCAAAATAAAGTTGACGTGGTGTGCATTGGAGGTATCGGAATATTAAATAATTCATGTTAATTTTCTAGAATACATAAAATTTTTAAATTGTCACCGCAATTAGGTAGAGCATATTAAACCGAAAATGACCTATTTTATATAACCTGTGGAATAAATGATAAATAATACTCACAAGCAGGATTTTCACAGCAGCAAGAATCATGAGCTTGTTTGTAAGAACAGTAACTGTATACCGAAGAATCGCACAGCGGACAGCCAGGATGAGCTCCAGGTGGCCCCACTACTCCTTGATTATGTCCCGGATAGTTGCCTCCCGGGTACTGTCCCGGGTACCCAGTTCCTGGATACAATCCTGGTCCACTTGGGTAAGTAGGCCTGTTGGGGTAATACGATCCGCCTGGATAGTTCGGGTAGTTGGGATACGGATTGTACTGCCCGTAGCCGCCTCCTATTAAAAAATCCCAAATCTCTCTGAGACTGAAACCTGTGGAGGGTTGATGATGGTGTGAATGGTGATGATGAGGTTAGTTTGATGACAATGATAAAGCGAATAATGAACACAATGTTTTGAAAAAGTGAGACAAATTGTTAAATGTAAACAATATTGATTAGAACCCATATAGAATGAAGAATTCTAATGTTAACCGTATAATAGATTCTAATCGAGGATTCTGGAAATTTTAAAGCTAGCGTTCAAAAATTTCATTCAGTAAGTTTCATGGTGATGGTAATGTAATGGGGTCGCTCGGATTGCGTTATATTATATTTCTCCCATTGGCTCAATTTTTTTATAAACATAAAATATAAAAATTTTCACATTGTAGGCTTGCTTCTACCATTTTGTATCCCATTTGTACGCTACCCGGCGCCTCCACCAACTTGTAATGAGGGGTAACTCGGATTGCGTAGCGAGAGGTACTTCTAATAATATAAACCGGGTTAATCTTTAAAATATACTTTATTTCACTTTTTTACATGTTACTCGTTTTGGGTTACAAATCAATAATAATATGTCAAGATCTACTGTCTTAACATTCTAAATATAAAACTATAATCACTACCTATATTCAGCCAGCAATTCTACTCATAGAGTAGAGCCTAGACTACAGTTAACACTCCGAACGTGATGTTATTAGTGAGTTGCTTGCTCTCTGTAATGTTGGTGGATGATGATATGTACCTACCTAAAAGCTGGGTACTTTCTGACAGAAAACTGTTGAGAGCCCAGATCAAGACTTTCTTTATTAGACCCATCGAGTATCTCGACAAGTAAACGAACGAATTAGAACATTTGAAAGGTCATTGATATAGTATGTCTTACTTAGTTTATGACAAAAATATTACTAAACGTGATGAGAGGGGCGATATAATTGGCTGTTTTTATTATACGAAAATAAAACGTAAAACGAAAATGAGTTTCTATTCCCTTGATTCCACTTAGACATGACGACCTATTGAAGGCGAGGCTTAATGCCTATCAAATATAATAGATTGAAAATTTGGCGTAATGCTTACCTACCTAAAATTACCAAAAGAAAAAATTTATTAACTAAGATTAGACTGTATGGTTTTAAATCTTTGCCTTTTCATTAGCGGAAAGATTTTAAAAAACAACAACAGTGAGTTAAACCTTCCACATTAATATGACACACGCTTCACATCATAAATATGTAATTAAAACTATTAATTTGAGGAAACAGGCAAAAAACTAATTACATAATTAATTCCCGCACTTAATTGTGATAAAATTCCAAAGATATCATTGTTTTTTGTCTTATCTATGGGAAATTGAGTCAAATATTGTGTTTTTCGTACAACGAGAACATTAATTTTTTGAAGGCAACAGTTTTACCTGATACGTGAAATAAATGTAATTATATTTGTAAAAGGTATAACCAAAGGCATAAACCGCTTAATATCATTATCTATATATGTTCTTAATATATATTTTATACTATATATGTTGTAACCTTAGAATAATAACTCATGCGTTATTATTCTAAGGTTATAACTTAGATGCGGAGAAAAGTTGTTTACAAATTCTTCAGAATTGACAGAGTATATTTTTGTAGCTGCAAAGTTCCTTGTGAATGAATTTCTCCAGGGAAGTGCTACCAGCTTAGTTATTTCTGCCGCCAAGGCTTTTGAAGGGTAAGGGTGCTGGTGAAATTATTGGCACATGGGACATGTCTGCTCATGTCTACTGGCGTACGACTTGTTCATCCTGTCACTTGGTATTATAAAAGAACATCTAAATTTCAGGACAAATGTGCTTTATTGACGGCCATCCTCCAGTAGTGGAGAGTAATTTTAAGGAGAAGAAGTTTTGCGGAACCTATTTCTTCTAAAGGATAAAACGCACTTACAGAACTTCACGTAGAGAACAGGTTCATAGAAAGTGTTCATAGAAATCTCCAACACGCGTCGACAGTTAGATTAAAATATACCTAATTCCTTAGAATAATAACGCATAGAACATTGACTTACAATTATATGGACGTCGGGTCCGCGCTAAAAAGTGTCCGAACTTATTGGGCGTTAAATCGTATACAGAGCGTCATTCACGCTCTAGTCTTCGTTTGTTCGACTGACAGCGAAGCAAGCAAAATTAGACAGTACTGCGATGACATTACAATTTAAATTCAACGTTTTAGCTTTTTCATATTTCTTGAAATGTCACTACGTTTAAATAGGTTGACTTGGGACATTTTTTTCGTGGTTTTTGTATTAGACCCGTCGTCCATTTATTTGTAAGTCAATGGCATAGAACGATAGTTTCATATCAAACGAACTGTCACAAGTGAGGCAAAAATCAAATTCATGTAGGCGTAAGCAACTTGTATCTACGCTCGAGCACGCACACAAATATACAAATAATGATGCCATGGAATAACATTTCCCTCAAAAGTGTAGTTTAAGTAGTATCTATTTTATGTTTGTCTGACGTATTTTTACACTCATTTACCGCACATTTCGTCATTTTTAGCTAAAATTCCTGATCTGTTCGCGGTGCAAGTTGGCCTTGAGCACTGAAGGCCCGTTCGCTCGTGTAGGCCCATTGGGAGCGCTACAATTTGCCTCACTTAGCGTGTACGGGCTAGGTTTCTATGCGTTATTATTTTAAGCCTAATTCAATACTTTCAAGATGGAAATGTAAGGGTTCTTAATGGTATAAAGTATGCTCGCTTCTGGTGAATCAGCGCTCTGTCACTGCTAAGACAAAAATTATATGTTTATAAAGTTTTATAATTTGTCTAACTATCAAAGTAAAACCCAGATTAAAAACAAAAACAGAATTTTAGAAGATATTACGTAAACTAATTTGTCGTAATGTAATTCAATTCACCTTGAGTGTGGCGGCTTCTGGTTTCCAAACAATTGTTAACAATTAGTTGCAAATGATGGTAATGAATTAACCTGTGTAGTTTTATGACGTTTTTTCCGAGATGTGTGACGAAGCGTTAGAGTTAATACACGAAAATAGGAAATAACGTGTGTTTAACAGTAATAAGCACTCAATTGTTACTTTGGTACCTAAGAAGATAATATAACAGTGACACCAAAGTAGATAAATTGAACTTGTAACTTTGACGGCCTATCTGGCCTAGCGGTTAACAAGCGGATGAGCTAGATGAGGAAGTTTTGGGTTTTTGAGGAAGTTTGGGACACACACATGTCACAAATTACACCTAAACTCATGAGATAAATAAATATAGCCCTTATAAATGTTTCTCCCGGCACCGGAATCGAACCTGGGACCGTTCGGCCACAGAGGCAGTTTTAAAATGCCATTTAGATATAAGCCACCGGAATGAGAGTGTCTGACCATGTAGAGTGCAACTTGACAAAGCGATGAAAGTTGTTATAAAATGATATAAAATGATATAATAACTATTCGCTATCTTTGTACAATAACGCAGTACCGCAGAATACTGCGATTTTGGCCTAAACATACAGTGATGAATAGAGCATCCGAAACTCTTCCTAAGTATATTTTTTGCCGTACCTATGCTGCGTTATTGGATAAAGGCAGCATATTGGTGAACAAGAGATACAATGGAATAAATAAATTAGGCGTTACCTACATATGTGTAAATTAAAGAGTAAGTGTGTTCGATAACTTATTCCAATTACATCATTGTGTTTTGCCTTATCTATGAAAAATATACTCAAATATTGTATTTTTTTCTTTCACATGGCTATTATGTGAAGGGTTTTAATAGATATGTAAACTAAACGTGATTATAATTTATATTATAAAAATAAAAGTTATTATAAAAATGTTACATAGTTTTAAAAGTTACATTTAATTTTATTATATTAGTATCAGTTAATATTATTATAATTTATGAATTTTATTGTGATTTAGACTTTTTAATTTTTGAATTTAATTTTTTTAATGATTTTATTTTATATGGACACTATGATATTTTAATTTTAACTGAATATTATAAATTGGTTCAATTTAATGTACGTTATGGGTTCTAGACGCAGTCACCAAGAATCTATCGTTAATAACTAATGTATACATTATAAAAAAAGAGACAGTGCGGTGAAAATGTTAAAACTCTACAATTCTTTAATGTTCTCGTGTCATTACTAAACTAGTGATGAAATAAATGAAAGGATATAAAATTTAAAATAAAAAGAATTTTGAGTGATGAAGTGAAATGATAAAACGCCAATTGTAATGTGAACTCACCATCATTGTTGCCGATTTTCTTTCGACTTAAATCGTAATTGGTGGGCTCTGACCCCTGCGCTTCACCTATTGTTAACAATTTAAGAATGGGTCATTTTAATTATTTCCTCGACTACTACAATTCCACTCGAATAATAGCGTGTTTAACTAGCAGAATTGGAAAATTCCTTTAGCACAAATGGAAGTAAAATACAATTATGAAAGAAAAAGGTGTTCAAACTCAAATAACCTTTATTAAACTCTACTGTTTATTCGTAACGCAGATTCCCCTGAGAAAATTGAGTGAGAAACTCTAGGGTTTGTTCTTACATTTGCACGCAATGTATCGTAGATCAATACAACTTGTAAGAGATGAACGGGTCACCACGGGACATTACAGGGTAAATTTGCAGATAATAATATAATTGAGGCTATTTTACGTCGTTACGTTAGTTCGTTATTTAAAAACAAATCTATTTTGTCAGTTTAGTCAAAATTGTTTTTGAATAACGCCTCTTTATTATTGACATGATTGTAAACTTTTCTACCAGATATCTAAATTTATACTTATTAAAGTCTGCATTTATTGAAACTTCACGAAACTCTTGAGAAATCTGAAATAAATGACTGATGCTATCTTGCGACACCTCGGACTTTAGCCGAAATTGCTACGTTCTGTTAAAATTCGTGTAGGTAATATACAAGGTGTAAGAAAAAGGTCTGGTTGAATATTATCAGAGCATTGGACTCATAGTAGCGAACAAGCAAAAGATTGATTTTAATGCGCTACTAATCATTTTCGTTCCCTCTAGATTAACTGACTTTTTTACAATGTTCAAGATCAATACTGCATAAAGCTTCAATGATTTATATTTTTGTAACATATATGTATGCATACAGTTCTATGTGACAAAATAATTTTTTGAGATATCATAAGAAAATCATAACGCTGTTTTAGAATTTTGAAAGTATGTGCATTGAAATTGTTTTGATAGTTTTGCTACCTATGCTTCATTAGGGTAAGTTCTGATATGTCAGGCACGTTGATTAACTTTAACGGTTTTTAAATAGAGAATTTTGAGTTCTATCTTATACCATTTTAAATTGTTCGCTTGGCACTTAACCGCGTTTTAATTAGTGAATTACAACAATAAATATGATTTATTTTCCTTCTTTTTTTACCGCACACACAACTCACGAGAGAAATAAATGTAAGTCATACAAATACTTCTTCCGGCCCGGGAATCAAGCCCGGGTCCTCTGCGTGGCAGTCCAGCATGGTAAATTTTCAGCCATGGAGGTAGTTATATAGGAGGCATATAAATTGATTATCTAATTTTGCCTTATTGTATCTTATTTGTGTGGCATACCTACTGTATTAAATTATCGTTTTTAATTGTTGGTTTATTTCTCTGTTTGGTCCCATAGTCAAGAGGTAGTGAATGACTTGTCCATTTGTACTATGTGTGTGCATAAAAGTTTTTAAAAGGGAAGCAAAATTTTTTGGAAACTTATTCGTTATCATAAGCACCTAGGTTCCCCAACTGAAACGTGCCTGGACATTTTTGATATATCCGTACGAATATTTATTTATCATTACCACAGAATTCACTCCACCTACTAAAAGTGAACAAATTTAAAAATATGTTAACTCACCATAACAAACTCCCAAAATGGCAGTAAAAAATATAAACAATATCTTCTTATCCATTTTCACTGTTCAATATTTATTTAAAATTATATATCTACTAACAAAAAACACTATGATCAGTCTGTGGGTCGCGAACTCGTGTGCTCGCTTGCTGATGTTTTAAAATAATGTGAAGCTATGGAAGGCTTTAGACAGCTTAAGCCCGACTTACCGGTAACATCGTGAAGAAAAGCTTGGACGCTTTTCGATTTTAGCTTTGTTTTGTAGTAGTTTCTGTTGTAAAATGCTTTATTAAATTCAAAAGAATTAGTTTTTTTTTTAATTTTTCTTTGTTTAGAACATACATCGCTTATAATAAATAAAACTACATAAAACGGTGTCTATTAAAGATAAAATTTCGAGGTAAGTTTGTGTTTTTTTTCTAACGTGAAAATTTTTAATAATCATGTTTTCACACCGTATACTAATAGGTGTATATCATTGACTTGCAATTATATGGACGTCGGGTCTGCGCTAAAAAGTGTCCGAACTTGTAAGGCGCTAAAATCGTATACAGAGCGCCAAACTCCGCTTTAGTCTTTATTTGTTCGACTGACAGCGCGATACTGCGATGACATTACAATTTAAATTTCGAATAGGTTGACTTGGGACATTTTTTTCGTGGTTTTTGTATTAGACCCGTCGTCCATTTATTTGTAAGTCAATGGTGTATATCGTCAATTTTACTATATATTTTTTCCAAAGTCATTGATCTAACACTTTCACTGTTATGCGGTATCAACCAAAAAGCACTTGAGGTTGTATCGACCCTTAACCGTCATTTGTCTACATTTTTTTAACCGACTTTAAAAAAGGAGGAGGTTCATTTGTACACCGATTTTAATGATACTTTTTTTGTTAGAAAGAAGGTACCTCAAACGTAGTTCCATTTAAATTTGAAGAAAATATTTCACCTATAAGGGTGGCACACTAGGGGATGAATGACCTTTGAGGCCGACTTTTTTTATTATAACGCCAACTGACGGTCCGGACGGGTCGTGCGCCTCGTAATAAGCGACATGGTTATCCAAAACAGTTGCAGTGCCACTCAGAGCTTTAATCGGTAAGATCTCAGGGGCATTGTCACTGCGCTCGTCACACTGAGACGTAAAGTAGGAGACTTAAGACTATAACGACAAGAGTGGGTATTTTTTTTTATTTTTATTTACGCTTACTACTTACCATTTTTTATTTTTGGCTATTTAAGTATACGTACGCACGTTACGTATTTAAGCAAAGAAAACCACAATTCAGTATTGTTGTAAAACATAGAAAGTATTTGTTTATTGTTATTGTGTACATGCTTTACTGTAAAATGGTTGTGTTCGTAACATTATGCGGGTGGGTAAATAACTGTAGATAATGTAACACCTAGATTCACGTCAATCGATACGTGTTATCATTATAAACTGCAAATTTGAACTCTATGGCGAACAGTGTAAGATACATGTTTCTTACAGCTGCGGGAAAAATTAAATTTTATTTTGTTTGTAACAGCCATGGTAGTCTAATGGACTGACCTAACGCATCTCAAGCAAAGGATTGTGGGTTCGAATCCGAGCTTGCACCTCTGAGATTTTTGATGTACCAAATTTTATTTAATAATAATAATAATAATTTGTTTCAGGCAAGATAAAAATAAAAGTTGAATTCAAAATTGATTAATAAAAATTAAAATTGAAATAATAACAAAAATAATGATAAAAATTTCTGGGGTTAAATGTTAAAAAGTAATAATAATAATAATAACGCACACACTCAACATAGCCCCGCACTAGGGAAACCCTGTGTCGCGGGTGCCATGGACACACACATAGACAACCACAAATTACACCCAAACTCACGAGAGAAATAATTGTAGGCCATACAAATATTTCTCCCGGCCGGGAATCGAACCTGGGACCTCTGCGTGGCAGTCCGGTATGGTAACCGTTCGGCCACGGAGGCAGTTAAAATTAAGTAAATTTCAAAGTATTAAAAAAGAAATAAAAATAACTTCAATTCACCTACTTAATAATGCGCGATGCACTGATGCACGATGCACGATGCAGCGAGCAAACCTACGAGCCAACATCTTGCGGCGGACGGACAGTACTCACACAAATGGTCAGTGACCCAGTGAAATTTGAAATTTACCATGAGCTGTTCGGTGAGCGAAAACCTCTCGAGGAAATCTGCAAAACAATTGAATGATGTGCGTGAAATTTCCAATCCGCGCTCACCTCGCGTCTGAACTACATCGAAAAGCTGTCTCATTTTAAGAGGAGACCAGTGCCCAGCAGTGTGACTATACAGGGTAGTTTTTAAAAGGACTAAATTACTAACGTCATAAACAACAACTTTTGTTCCATGACTTTTTACAAAACGTAATAAAATTACCAAAAACAACTTTTACGGACATTTTTGGCAAAATGTTACCTTCTTTCACAATCTATCAATAAAACTGTTGACAACAACTACATGACTATTTAAAATTTTATGAAAACTGGCAATTCTGCAAATGTCATTTCACTCCGTTTTCAAAAAAAGATAGACGATAGTAAGTTCGAACATGTTTAAGCATAGAGAATGCTTTGCCCACGACTCCCGCGTTTTGCACAGAGTTATCACTGCCTAGAGCGATCTATTGAAATATTTTTATATGAATGTAAAATCTGAACTTGTTAAATTATTAAATATAAAAAAACTTGTTATAATTATTAATACAAAGATTGAACACTTAGAAAAAATTCCTTCGATCCTGCCGGATTCGAACCTATGTCTCCTAGCAAACCGTACCAGACGCTATGACAACCAAGCCACGGAACGAACCAGCGGACCTCACGAATTTTTCTATGTGTTTGTTGTTGGAGCTTTGTATTTGGTTTTCAACGACTTTTTAGCCGTGGCGCCATCTATGAGAAATCTATGTAGTTATGTAGTATAGTGTAGCTATGTAGTATTTCGTCAGTCAGTTATATACCTTTACAGCTACCAGCCCTGACTAGAGATGTCGCTATTTATTATAATGAAATATTTATTGAATTGATATTCAATTATTTTGTGAAATTACTCCACTAGTTTGTTATAATTAATAATAATAACGCACACACTCATGGCCCCACATAAGGGAAACCCTGTATCGCGGGTGCCATGGACACACACATATGTAAACAACCGCAAATTACACCCAAACTCACGAGAGAAATAAATGTAGGCCATACAAATATTTCGCCCGATCCGGGAACCGAACCTTGGACCTCTGCGTGGTAGTCCAGTGAGGTAACCGTTCGGCCACAGAGGCAGTTAAATATTAATACGAAGATCGAACACTTAGAAAAGATTCCTTGGATCCGCCGTATTCGAACCAACGTCTCCTAGCAAACCGTGCCAGACGCTATGACACGGAACGAGCCAGCGGACCTCACAATTTTTTCTACGTGCTTGTTGTTGGATCTATGAGAAATCTATGAAAGTATTTCGTCACCCAGTTAGATACCTTTACAGGTACTAGCCTTGGCTAGAAATGTCTCTAGTTCTTTGTATTAATAATTATAACAAACTAGTGGAGTAATTCCACAAAATAAATGAATATAAATTCAATAAATATTTAATTACAAAAGTTGTTGTTTATGATGTTAGTAGTACATTTAGGTTTAGGTTCTCGGGTTTCTCTCAGAGAAAAGTTTAAGGAGACTGGTATCATGCCTGGTGGCATCACAGTACATTTACTCAAATATTTTGGATGCCCGTAAAAATATACATAATTTCATTAGAAAAGAAGATAATATAGGAAATGAAACTATTTTTCTGGATTTAAATCGCGTATATTTGTTTTTTCAAACAAACCGACGACGTTTCGGGCCCTTTACGGGTCTCATGGTCACGGTTAACAAATATACGCGATTTAAATCCGGAAAAATAGTTTCATTTCCTATGTGTAACAATCGCGAAAACCTAAGAAATCGATAAGAAGATAATATCCATAATATTAACCTTAGAAATAAGTCCAAACTGATGGTACCACGATTTCGTTTAACTAAGGTAAACGATTGTTTTATGGGGAACTGTATACGTTTTTACAATAAGATTCCGAAGAATATATTAAGATTATGATTTCCTAAGTTTAAAACTTACAATAAAAGTATTTTAATTGAAAACTCACATTATAAAATTGAAGAGTATGTTTTAGATAGAGAAGTATGGAAAGACAACAAGAGTCTAGATTCCACACAATTATGATTCAAAGTGTATTCCGTCTAGAGTTTCTTGCTCGTTCTTCTCAAGGAGGTTAGCGTAGTGAACGAGCAGTAGCTTAAAAATGACGTTTTCAAGTGTAAAAATTTAACCCATGGAATAACTGATTATTTGACTTTACAGTCCTGTAAGGTTGTTAATATTTTATAAATAACCTTGTATAGGCTAACTATTACTATTACATAATTTTGTTTATTCTTTGTCCTTCACAGTGAACACTCTTGTGGTCAACAGTACAACTGCATAAGACATCAGTCCAAGGGTTAGTGGCACTGTCCTTAACCATATTCTTACAACCCGTTCTCTATAATTAACTCTAGTCTTGGTAGTAACTAGATCTACACTGGTGTGCAGAAATATTTACTATTTATGTCCTAGAAATATGTGAAGAATTGCCAAATTACTAAGTTAGTAATATTAATTAAGAAATGTATTAATTTAACAACATTGTCTCTTGAATTACGTAACGCATGTAAACAACTAGTATGATTTTGAACAACCTATTTGGTAAATTCTTATATTATTTGTGTCACACATGGCTATAGTGATATATAACATGAATGAGCATCGTATTGTTTATATTTATTTAGTGTAATAGACAAGCAAGGTTTAAAAATAATGGGCTACTGTTGGATAATTTCTGAAAAATTTATACTGAAAATTTTTCCGGAAAAATTTCCGAAAGATTGGAAAAATTTGAATAATTGGAAAAATATAATTTCAAAGGCTCATAGTACGTTCTTCGTTTAGAAATATGTTTTGAAGTTTTATTTATCGTGAATTATAAGATAAACCTGTATATCTAAAATCCACCTAAAGAAAACGAGAT